TATATATATATATATATATATATATATATATTCCGTCTGGAAGGTGCTTATGTGTATCACCGGTAACAATAAAAAACAACAACTAAATAATACATAAAAAATTCCTGCTCTTCATAATCTTACATAATCTCTGACTGACAGTGATAGAATGGTGTAGTGCAGCAATTTCACATTCACTATGGACAAACAATTTTATTGCATTGTGTCTCGATTAAGCATAATTGTGTAAATGCCTGAACATAAACGCACCCATTCAGACTGCAACAAATGCAATGGTTCAGTGATTGAGGAGACACAGTTAACCACAAATTCATCAGCCCCCTCGCAGATGCACAAACACAAATAAATGGAAGTCAAAGTGGGAGAGACAACACAAGAAGTCTTCAAAACAAAGCTGTCTAAACATCTAGCTTCTCTTTCCGTGTTCAAACAATCCGTATCGTCACAACGCAGCTCCAGGTAACAGCTGCCAAACTGCAGGATTGCACAATGAGCGTCCTCCACCCATCAAATCTGGGGAGTGATGGGTCCACCCAAGACGACTGCTTGCAAGGCAATGGGCAGTGGCTAATGTGAGCGGACAGGCATTGTCATGGCCTCCATCCAACGGCCTGCAGCCTCCCCTGGCCAAAGGATTATTTTTAGCAGATGTTAATAATGGACTCTCATAAATAATCATCATGGCCGTGTAAGAGAGAGGTGCTGTAAAGTGAAACTGTCCCTGTGATTCCTTTAATGGCCATTAAGTAAAATAACAGGCACCAGGCAACATCATCATACATTTAAAGCCATTAATACAAGTACTTAAAGCTGCCATAGTGAATAAAGCTAATTTAATCTCATGCCAGTTTGCGGTCGGACTCGGAGTTCATTGACAAAGCTGATTTATCCTACTTCAATCAATACCGCCGTCTGATTGTCTTACAACTACACCAGTCCCAAAAGGCAAAGGAGCAGTAAATAACTGGCACAGACACATTAACTGAAGCATAATGAAGTCTGCAAAAAGAGTTTTGTTGGTCACATGGACAAATTTAGAGGAAGAAGTACAGTGACAGATACACAATACATACAGTGTCAACGGGACTCTGTAGTTCGAGGCAGTGATTTCCACCTACACGAGTCATACACTGCTCTACTATAATTTCACATTTAGTGAATTTAACATTCACAATTTCACTTTTCTAATCCTCAGCAGTGTTTCCCATACATAAGCTTTACCTTTTATTAGATAAAATTCGAATTCCACTTTACGAATTTCCGTATTTTCTGACCTTGGTTGGATGACCCATGTAAACTGTGTAAATCCTTAGTTTTTTTTTTTTTTTTGAGATAGAGAGAGAAAGGGGGGTGGTAATCGTGAAACTGATGTGCGTGTCGTCGACTCGTCATCCAACGTGGCAAACTGGATTCAACCAGTGTTTCCCATACATTTATTTATTTGTGGCGGCCCGCCACAATATCCACATTAACCGCCACAAATATCCACCGCACCCTG